TGTTGGTAGGGGCCTATGTCAGGCGGTTCAATCTGATGAGAATTCAGATTCAAGGACTGTCTGATGAAGTTGCTTACACAGAATTCTTTAAGGGTCTGAAGGATGGGTCAACCTTCAAGTTCGACCTCGTCCGGAAAAGGGTAGCCACCCTCCAAGAGGCGTTAATGGAAGTTGAAGCCTACATACAGGCGACGGAGCTTTGTGCTGTAAAGCAGCCGTCGGATTCCAAAAAATCCGACAGAAGAGACAGCCGGCAACAACAACAGCCAGCTAAGAAGGAAGAAAAGAAGAGAAAAGAGGTCTGGGCGGCAGACCGATCTGGTCAGCCGGCTCAGAAGCTCAGACGGAAATCTGAACAGTACGTTCCCAAGTACGAGTTCACAAAGGACTGCTCCTCCATCCTCATGGAGATAAAGGATCGGATGTCCCTCGACAAGCCGGCTGTGATGAAAAGTCCCGTAGGCAGCCGGGACAAAAGCAAATACTGCCAGTACCATGAGGATGTTGGCCATGACACTAATGGTTGCTATAGCCTCAGGCGGCTATTAGACCGTCTGGCTGATGAAGGGGCTCTGAAGTCTTATCTGCCCAAAGCCAAGGGTAGCACCCTGGCCAAGAAAGGGCAGGCGGCAAAAGCTGTTCTTGCCAATTCTGAAACGGATGAAGAGACCATCTTCACCATAGCAGGCGGCTTTGCCGGAGGGGGTCCCACTATTAGGGGCACCAAAGATAACATCAGGAAACTGGTCAACTCAGCTGGTCCTTATTTCTAAAAAGGACCGGGGCAAGGTCAGGCGGCCTCACGATGACCCCATAGTCATCGAATGTAAAGTTGCCAATCAGAGGGTTGGCCGGATCCTAATAGATATCGGGAGCTCGTCTGACCTAATCAGCTATCAATGTTTGACCAAGCTCAAGTACAAATCCAGTAACATGCATCAAGCGCCTCATCCTCTTGTTGGTTTTGGGGGAGGCGTAGTGCATCCGGTAGGAAGCATAGATCTTCCCATCCGGCTGGGTGAAAAGGGGGAAGGGCGCCATATGGTGGTAAAATTCTTGGTTGTAGAAGAGCTTGCCGCCTACAACATGATTTTTGGCCGTCCGACCCTCAATGAGTCCAAGGCTGTCATCGTTCCTTCACTCATGCTTGTCAAATTTGAAAAGGACGATGGTGCAGTCGGTTCCCTTAAGGGGGACCAGAGGACGGCTAGGGAGTGCTATCTCTCTGACGTCAGACCTACTATGGGAGCAGCCGGAGACGGCAAGACCATAGATCTTGATAACTGCGATACAGCAGTCCCGGCTCCAAAGGCAGCCGGTAAGAAAAGAAAGGCGGACCAGACGGAACCCGTCAAGCAAGAAAAATAGCAATCACTGGCCGGGGAAAGGTCAGATGATCAACGACCTCAGCCGGCTGGTGACTGCATTGATGTCGTCTTAGACGACAGCCGTCCTGACAGAACTGTCAAGGTTGGGACGGTTGCTTATGAACGGTTGGGAGCAGACCTGCTCCAACTTCTAAGAGAATTCAAAGATATCTTTGCCTTTGAAGTGGAAGAGATGCCAGGTGTCAGCCCGGATCTAGCTGTCCACAAGCTCGCCGTGGACCCTAAAAAGAGGTCGGTCAGGCAGAAAAAGAGGGATCACGGTGAAGAAAGATCTCAGGCGGCAGCGGCTGAGGTCAAAAAACTGTTAGATGCTGGGTTCATCCGGCAATGCTACTACCCGGATTGGGTAGCAAACGTTGTCCTCGTGAAAAAGCCGAATGGTACCTGACGGATGTGTGTAGACTACACAGATCTGAACAGAGCATGCCCAAAGGACAGTTACCCGCTTCCAAAGATCGACAATCTGGTCGACTCTACAGCCGGTCATGCTCTGATGAGTTTCATGGATGCCTACTCAGGTTTCCATCAAATACCCCTGTGGAAAAAAGATCAAGAAAAGACGGCCTTCGTCACTGATCAGGGGTTATTTTGTTACAAGGTGATGCCGTTTGGGTTAAAGAATGCACCAGCTACATTCCAACGCATGATAAACACCGTCTTCAACAATCAGATTGGCAGGAATGTAGAGGCGTACATTGATGACATGATAGTCAAATCCAAGCTACAGACGGATCACCTACTGGACCTCCGAGAAACATTCACCACACTCAGGCGGCACCGGGTCATGCTTAACCCAAAGAAGTGTGTGTTTGGTGTTGAGTCTGGGAAGTTTCTCGGATTCTTGATCGACCAAAGGGGCATAGAGGCTAATCCGGAAAAAGTACAGGCGGTCATTGATATGCGTTCTCCCCGCAGTGTAAAAGAAGCCCAGAAATTGACCGGTTGCCTGGCGGCGTTGGGAAGATTTCTCAGCCGGTCAGGTGACAAGTGCCTCTATTTCTTCCAGGCCATCCGGAAGAGGTCCAGATTTGAGTGGGGTGAAGAGGCGGAAATGGCATTCCAGAAGTTAAAGCAACACTTGCATTCCTTGCCAAGGCTAGTGAGCCCCCTGCCCCAGGAGGTTCTCTATATGTATCTAGCCGTCTCTGATCATGCCCTTAGTGTCGTTCTCCTCGCTGAGAGAGACGATAATCAGCTCCCGGTGTATTTCATCAGCCATGTACTTAAGAATGCTGAACTCCAGTACCCTATGATCGAAAAATTTGGGTTGGCCCTGTTCGTCGCAGTCAAATGGTTGAAGCCCTACTTTTTGGCTCACCCGGTGATTGTATATACAGACCAGCCGCTCAAGCGCCCAATGACCACCATCGAGTCATCTGGCAGAATGATCAAGTGGGCTGTTGAAATACAAAGCCTCGAGATAACTTTTGAACCCAGGCGGGCAGTGAAAGGTCAGGCGTTTGCCGACTTCATTGTCGAGATGACTAGACCGGTGCAACCGGAAAACCCTGGTCAGGTTTGGAAGTTATTTGTGGACGGTAGCTCTACAGTGAACGGTTGTGGTGCAGGCGTTATATGCCATTCTCCGGAAGGGGATAAGTTTGAATATGCACTACGGTTCCAGTTCCAAGCCTCAAATAATGAGGCAGAGTATGAAGCCCTGCTAGCCGGTATACGCATGTGTAAGGCAGTAGGGGCAAGGAAAGTCACCGCCTGCTCAGACTCTCAGTTGATTGTTAGCCAGTACAATGGTGACTTCGAGGCCACCCATCCGGCTATGATCAAGTATCTGCAGGCGGTCAGGGAAGAGGCCGTGTCACTTGATGAATTTCATCTAAGTCAGGTGCCCGGGTCCGAGAATAATCAGGCGGATGCCCTTTCCAAATTGGCATCATCCGCCTCCTGTGATGCACCTAGGACAGTTTTTTGGGAAGTCATTGAGAAAAGAAGCATTGATCATGACCCCATAGGTATTCTGGACTGAAGTGCCACCTGGATGGACCCCATCCGGGATTACTTGGCAGACGGTACTTTACCGGATGACCCTTCTGAAGCAATGGCGCTCAAGAAGCATGCTCTGAGCTTCGTTATGCATCATGGAGAACTTCTCCGGAAGGGTTATCTACAGCCGTTTCTAAAGTGTGTAACCCCTGAAAGGGGAAGAGAGGTTCTAGAGGATCTGCACGCGGGTTTTTGTGCCTCACACATAGGCGGCAGGTCCTTGGCAAGAAGAACCAGACGGCAGGGTTACTTTTGGCCCACTCTTGAGGCAGACGCCATGGATTTGGTGAAACGGTGTGACAAATACCAAAAGTTCGCCCGGTTGTTACACCAACCGGCAACTGACCTGACAGCCATCCATAGCCCGGTTCCATTCGCAAAGTGGGGCATGGACATTCTGGGTCCGTATGCTCCTGCATCAGGCGGTATGAAAACCGGCTACTCTAAATTTATCAAAACTCCGTGTGCTCTGAATTTCAAGTACCGGATGCTCTCAAATGCCGGGTGCTCTCAAAATTCAAGAAAATTCACGAAGTTTGTAAATGAGCTCTCGTATGCCTCTTCCCCTATTTATAGGGGTTGCTTCAGAAGGCGAAGGGACGCGACCCTTCCCCTTCTGCTTTTCCCTCCTCTTTCAGTTAGAATCTGAAGAGGTTTCGTTAAAAAAAAAAAAAAAATCGTCAGCTCTCTTCTCAGGTGCCACGTGGCACCTTGCCACGTCAGCACCTGAGAGGGGCAAATGTTTGGGGTAAAATTACCCCAGCCACGTGGCCCTATGGCTGAGCGACACGTGGCACCTTGCTATTGGTCAGCAGGGCTCCAATCCCCTGCTGACACGTGTCCTAGGAACCCTAAATGGGGAACCAAGGCTCCGCACTATAAATAGTGGGAGAATCCTCATTAATGGGTATTCATAAATACATTCAAGAAAATTGAATACACTTACACCAAAACCGAGCAATATTAATTGCGGAATTCTCCCATTACGCGAGAAGTAATTTCACTATTTTACGCACTATCTTCCTCCTATACGAAACTGACTTGATCGTCGGAGGCGGAGCTCCACCCAACCGGAGTCTTCGTGGTTTTGCAAGTACAGGCGGCGAAGGGCATTCTTGGAATTGTAACTCTCCCGCAAGACACATCAAAAAACCCCGAAACACGTGCGACTAGGCGCACCAACCCCGCAAGCATGCTCGGCCAGCAAGCCTAGCACGCACATGCATGTTTGGCTTGCGGCATAGCCATGCGATGCGGTTGGTGCCCTATGCTAGCCTAGCCTTCGCATGGCTAGGCCACTGCGAAGCTATAACTTAGCTTGAACTTGTCGTTTGTTTGATTTCTTGTCTCGTCGAATTCTAAATTCGACTCGACTTACGAAGCTCGGTTTCGACGCTCTAAGCTCGATATCCGACGTCTTTGTTCTTAATACTCTAATGACTCACCTAATCCTTCAGATTAATTTGTCACCTCGGATCGGTTACTCGATTGGGGTGTGACCCGAAGGGTTTAATCAAGATTAAGCTGTAATATTAATTATACATTAATATTACTGATCGGAAGCGGCCTCCTGCTAGACATTCCGATCACTTGACCTCACCGAATAATACAGTTGTTGGAAGGCCACCATTCCTTTCACCTCTCAAGTAGCCGTCATTCTCCTTCATCACTTCCCCTCTTCATATCCTCATTCTCTCACTTCAGTCCCTTTTCTAAACCCTAACTCCTCTCTCTTCCAACTTATTCCCTCAATGAAGTGAGAGGAATACGCAGAACAACCGAATGACCCATGCCTATCATACCACCATTTCAAAAGCCATCTCCACCGATGCTGCCACGCACCAGTCACTTTTCTCTCCATCACGCATTACACAACGACCCCTGTTTTCCAACCCTAACTTTGATGCGGTGCGCGAAAGTTTGATCGTGGTGATTTGATGCTCGAAAGTCCAATTGTGATGATGTATGTATGGGTGGTTTAAATGACAGAAGAATCACCCCTTGGTTCGATTGAACCATTAAATCTCTGTTTATGGCCGGAAGTTGCAAGGTGGCTGGTGGATGCAAACAGTTGCCTTTGAGCGGTGGGTCAATTGAGAGGAACAAAGGCAGCAAGTGGTTCGTGTGAGGTTGTTGGAGGTGTGCGATTTGGGGGGTTAGTTTTAATTTTCTATTATTAATTTAGATCTCAAATTTCAGATTTTCATCTTTAGGTTTGGTCTTATTTTTAGATTTTCTTAATTATTTTCGATACAATATGGTTGCCGTTTATCAGTGATATGGTCTTATTTTTAGATTTTCTTCATTATGGTCGATTGAGAGGAGCAAAGGCAGCAATTGTTTCCCTGTTTGCTTGACTGATAAACTAGTTTATCATTGTTAAAATTTTTAATTTCTTGAATTTTTAACATTTTATTTAGTAGGTGACAATGTCATTGATTTTTCTCGCAGCAAGTTGCCGTTTTGTGGGTGTTTGATGTGGCTGCTTTGTTTTTTTATGCGGCGTTTATGGTTGTTTGGTGCGACTGCTGGCGGCTGTTAAGTTTGATGATTAAGGTGGTTGCGAGTTGCGAGGACTGGAAGCGTGGTGGTGGTTTGTATCGGCACCTGCTTTCTATATCTCTATTTTCATCTTAAAACCCTTTATGGGTCTTAATTAATTGTTGTTTGTAATGTAATTTTTTTTTTCGGGAGGACTTAAGTCCTCACTAATTAAACTACTGTATTTTAAATGTAGTTGATAAATAATGTTTATTTTATTTTACACGTATATAACATTATTATTATTATTATTATTAACAAATAATAATAATAATAATAATCAAATAATAATAATAATAATAATAATATAATTTTTTAAAAAAAGTAAGGAAAAGAAAGCGCCTATCTATGGTAAGCGTTCTTTTTTATATAGCTATTGAGCGCCTATCCTAAGATGACAACTCTCTTTGCCTTGTTTTTTATTTACTTTGTACCTGAATTGCTATTCGTCGCTCCCATTTTACAAGGCGACGCTTCCATTTTAATGTGAAGTTACCGTTTTGCCCTTGTGTGAATTTGGGCTATATAAGGCTCCACCACTTTGTCACATAGTTTCCCGAGCATTTTAATATTATTCCCGAGCACTTTGACACACCACTTGACTTAAAAAAATCCCGAGCCCGAAAATTCCCGAGCCCACCGCCAAAAATATTAAATTTTGTTTTTTAAAAAAAATTTATCAAGGTTTAGCGACGGGTTTTGGACGATGAATGACGATGACGATCGTACACCGGAGGCATCTTCGGAAGAATCTGTAAGTTGTAGAATTTTTTTTTTTTTTTTGAAAAAGGCACATCCGCCCAAAAAATCCGGATCCTCCTGAAATTTTAGGCGGATCCTCCATGGATGTTCCGGATGTTTTGGGCGGATGTGCCTTTTTCATTTTTTTTTTTTTTGTATGTTATTGATTATTATGATTATTATTATGATTATTACGATTATTATGATTATGATTATTATTATTATTATTATTGTTGTTGTTGTTGTTGTTGTTGTTGTTTTGTATTATTATTGGTAAGCATAAATTGGGTTGCCAAAAAAATGTGGTTTGTAATTGTTATTAATATTGTTATTATTGTTATTGTTATTTTATTATTAGTTATTTTTGTTAGTATTAGTTTATGTTAATATTAGTTAATGTTAGTGTTAGTTAATATTAGTTAATGTTGTGATATTAGTTAATGTTAGTGTTAGTTAATATTGATTAATGTTGTGAAATTAGTTAATGTTAGTGTTAGTTGATTTAGTTAATATTAGTTAATGTTGTTGTTGTTATTATTATTATTATTATTTATTATGATTGTTGTTGTTTTATAAATATTGTTATTAATATTGTAATTATTATTATTATTATTATTATTATTATTGTTTTATAAATATTGTTATTAATATTATAATTAAAATACTAATATTGGAGTGTTTTGTTTGTTTTCTTTTATGTTTATAGGATGCGGAATTTGAAGACGGCTGTGACGGTGTGAATTATAGTGCTCATTTTGTGACGAACACGTATTTTCCAACGTTTGAAAATGCAGTAAAATGGGCGGATGCTGTTTCCATAAATCTTGAATTTATTTTGGTTAAGTCTTCGTACAACAAAACTAGAGATGGGAGGCCTTATCGGTATTTGAGATGTGATAGGGGACGAAAGAGCAAGCCGAGAGATTTGGAGGGCGCTATTCGAACGGACACAAAGACCAAAGCTAATGGTTGTCCTTTCTACATCAAGATATACTACGAGTTTGTCATCGATAGTTGGAAGATCCGGGCAAAAAAATGATGCAACTGGGACCCATAACCATCCAATGATTATGTATCAGGAGGGTCATCGTAAAATTAGTGGGTTGAGCCCGGATGCGAAGAAGGTTGTGCGTGACATGACGAAGTCCAAGGTTGCACCACGTAACATCATGGCGACTATTGCAGAGCAATTTCCTGATGATCATCCAAACATCAGACACATTTACAACTGCCGGAATGACTTGAGAACGGAGATGTCTGATGGGAGAGGAGTTGTTCAGCAATGTCTTCATTTGGCGAGACAGAATCAGTATCTTTAATGGGTCATGTCTGATGATCTCGGCGTTCTACAACATGCCTTTATGGTGCACCCAATCACGGTAGACATACTACGGACGTACCCATATGTGATCGGTATGGATTCCACTTACAAGACTAACCGATACGGGATGCCGTTCTTTGAGATAGTTGGTGTGACACCGACAAATCAGAATTTCCTCGTCGGTTATGTGTTCATGCGCAACGAGTGCATGGCAAGCTATTGCTAGGTTTTGCAGAGACTGAGAGAGTTGATTGGGTATGATAAGGAATCGTCGGTATTTCTGACAGACCGTGAGCTTGGGCTATGTACGACATTGAGAGAAGTGTTTCCAGGGACCCCGCATTTACTTTGTCGATGGCACATTAACAAAGATCTGGAGGCTCGGGTCACTGATATGTTAAAAAACAAGAGGATCGGTGCGAGTTTCAAAAACGGAAAATGGAATGTATCATGGACGCTGCAACCGAGGAGGATTATAATGCTGCTGTAGATACAATGAAAGCTCGGTGGGCAAGTTATCCGGCGGTGATTAGTTATGTTGAGAGAACATGGCTTTGTTATAAAACCAAGTTTGTGACATTTTGGACAAACTAAGTTCTACATTTTGGCAACACCAGCACTTGCAGAGTTGAGAGCCAACATTCGGCCGTGAAGATGTGGTTTGAATCTTCGACAGGTTCGTTGTTTTTATGTTGTAGTTGATGTATGTACTTCGTTTTAGTGATTTTAATTATAAATCATAACGGTTTTTTTTGTAATGTTAATGAACGACAGGTTCTTTGGATACAGTATGGGCCCGAGTACGTTGCCATATTGGTAATCATATCATTGCAATTCGTAATGGTTTGGAGGCGTCTAGGTCGAAGATTGGTGAGAAGTACCGACAATTGCCACTGTCACGTATCAATGACAAGGTGTCCCAGCATTGTTTAAAAGTTCTGGATGACGAGACGAGAAGGATGAGGGAGCTGAGTTATCAAGTGTATGAGTGTTTTGGATGTGCAATGTGTGTGACCCACGGTTTGCCCTGTGCCTGCCAGATAAATGATTCGCTAGCTGCCGAAACGGGCTTGTATATCAGGAAAATTCACCCGTTCTGGAAGACCTTGGTTATCGGTGATGGGGATGATGTACCGGTTTTCGGTAATGACTCGACCGAGGATGCTACACATTTTCATTCTCTGGTGGATGAGGTAATCAGTAGTGATCTCGATGTCCTTCGAAATGTATCTCGCATCATTGAGGAGGAGCTGCATCCGGATCATTCAAACCTTGGAGATCCGAATGTAAACCACAACGTCCGTGGTCGATGAAGGAACAATGATACAAGACGTGATCGTTCGTATTACGAACATGTCAACCGTCGAAACACTCAACGTGGTGAGCCGCAAACAGGTACGATTGGCTATTGTGATTTTCACGAATTTCATCATTTACCGTGCTAATAACTGAACATTAATTTTGTGCAGAAGATCCATGTGACGTCAGCCAAAGCCGGTATCGGCACTTGCTTCCAAGACCGATGTTGACTTACATCACGACATAGAAGGATGTCATCGGCAATGGTAACTGTGGTTTTTGTTGTGTGGCCGACTTCTTCTTCGGTGATCAAGCGCAATGGTTTGACGCTCGGGAAACAATAGCAAATGAGGTCGCCGCTCATCCATTCCTGTACGAAAGGATTTACGGGATTGGAAGGGTTCGGATGAATGTGGAGCGTATTCGGTGGGACGGAGGGGCGGTCGATTCACGTCATTGGATGGTTGCAATTCAAGATTTATTTCCTATTGCTACTTGGTTCAACGCAAGGGTTATTATTCTTGGTGTAGGCACCGTACCAACCTACTACTACTCATGCCTCACGATCTTACCGTTGCGGGCACGAAACACAGTCAGGTCACCCGCCCGAGAGTTTGTGATCGCTATAGTTGGGGGGTCACATTTTATCCGTATTGATCTTGCTGAAAATTCACCTCTTCCCCCGATTCCAGGATGGTGGACCGAGCACCACGAGCCAAGTGTCGACGGATGGGATCAGCAATATGAAGTTAGACGGAACATGTGGGATGCATTAATTGGGAAGTGAACTCATTTATTTAATTTTACTCAGGTTGAAAAGTTGTACCCATGTGGGCACTGTAATGGACACTGAAGCTAATGAATGTTTGGGTAATTTTGGATATATATGTAAGTTTATCAATTGTTTTAGAATTCTACATCTTCTGATTTCTTGTTCGATTTTTATGCGATTATATTTGTTAATGTCATCGATTTTTTCCTTGATGTTTTGTTCAATTTTTGCGATTTTTTTTTTCATCTGATTTCATTTTGTTCATTAATTTTTGCGAATTTTTTCAGTTTTTTTCCAGAATTTTGCGATTTATTTCGATTTTTATGCGATTTTTTCCTAATTTCATTAATTTCGACTTCATTTTTTTTTATTTTGTTCGGTTTTTTTCGATTTCGTAACAGTGTTAGCTATGTAATATAAATCAATAAAAGTAATTAAACAAAGTTTCAGCAAAACCAAATATTAAATAAGTCTCCAGTTGTTAAATTACACGTCGAATACAAAGTACTATAAAACAATCACTATAAGCTAATATAAAACTAAAAGACAAGTACTTCACAACCCCATCATCGCCTTCTAGTCAGCTATCAGCTGCTCAGTCATTGTCGTTGTTTCACGCGACATGCTGGGGTACTCATCCAGTGATCTTCGGTGAATCTCCAAGGACCGACCCATCCACTGTAAATAACAAAACAACATATTAATTACAGAAATTACAATTTTTTTAAGTGGTATTTATAGTATAATAAAACACAACTAATTACATAGTCCGTGTTAGTCCTCTCAGGAAGTCTGCTACTCCCATCTGATGACCCACCTGGAGAAAGACGAGGATGAGAATATCAGTAGAGCCACTGCATGTAACCAGGAGCGACCGTAGGAGCTCCACCACCAAGTCTGGTGAGGGCACCTAAAACAACACTGAAAGACAAGCCAGGGACAAACCAAGTCCACATCACAGATGTCATCTCAGTCGGAAAGTCAACCCGATACATCTTCAAGTTCGTCGGTCTCTTGGCCTTCTCAGGCTTGATAATGGTCCGCCGAATGTCCTGCACGAATCCAAGTTGTCGGACCACTCGATCAAGCATGTATGGCTCAATGATGCTACGGTACTGGATGCAGCCAATAAATAGAGTGGCTGGCACGCGTCGTGCAGGATCAACTCCGTACGGTAGCTAGTTAACCTCATTGTTAGTTAGCTGATCCAATCTAGCACGAAAAGCGAGGAGGCGCTCCATGCTCTTGTTCGGGCATCCCGATCCCACATCCCAAGCAAACGCACGAGGAATACTAAGCTCCCTCGTCAAGGTACCCTGCTGAGGCCGGAAGCACGGAAAGTACTCGTAGATCCACGCCTGCAGAAGCGTGATACAACCAGCGATTGAATCGGCATCTTTTCTTGATGTCGTACCCAACTGGCGATATAGATATGCTAGAGCAGCTGAACCCTAAGAGTACTCATTGATCGGAAGATCATGAACAACAAGCTCATTGAGGAAGGACGGATGAGTACGGTTACCACTCTTGTCCAAAAACAGACATCCGCCCAGCACTAACCACATGTACGCACCGTAATGGACACTGAAGGGCCTCTGCGCCTCCAAGGTCGAGTCCATAATCCTCTCGGTCAGCACCCTACTACCCTGCCAAACGGTTTTCGTATCGCACTTCTCGTTCAGCTCTTCCGCAATCATGTCCATGGTAATCGAGCACGCGTCCCGTATGACGTCCGTGCTGGGAGAAGTGGAAACCATGGAACCATCAACACGAAGCCCAAGAATATGGTACACATCGTGTAGCATGATTGTGATCTCCCCAAATGGCATATGAAACGTGTTTATATCTGGCTGCCATCTCTCTACAAACGCAAAAATCAGCGGCCAGTCAAAACGCCTAAACATGATCCCTAGTAAGTGAGACAAACCACTAGCGTCAATAAATTTCAGATGCTCCTGTGCAAGATGACCTCGCCAGGTAACCAATGCAGAACACAACTGTGTCCTGCTCAAACAACGCAAAACATTACGCTCCTGCCCGCCCCAAATATATGCAGCCACGTGACCACCAAAACTGCGGATAACAGTACCATCCTCAGGACCACCTGGCATCGGCTGCTGCACTACCCATGTCTCTGCTGAGCTGGTGGAAGGCTGACTCGCTTGACTGCTACTCACAAATCTCCCATGCTAACCCCTATGCACCGTATGATAATCCTAAGGGTCGTACTCTTCATCTCGATCAGCCGGACTTGCCCGCTCATCGTCCTCCTCGTCAGATGTCGGCACTCCACCCGACGAGTACATGGGGGGGCTCCCTTGCGACTGATGCTCCCCCGACCAAGTACCAGCAGACCCATATTGCTGCTCATGATGATACGGTGCCCCCGTATTTACCGAACGACCCGACTCCCTCCTAACAGACGCATTCAAACGTTTTGATACTGCATGACGAGGACCCGAACCCTCAATCTACAATAAATAAGTACAAAATCAAATATCTGTAATATTTACAAATATAACTATGATATTACAGTTGAACAACTATAATTCAAATTCAAAAAAATAATAAACCAAATCAAATAAACAATAATAACAACATTACTAACCATAACAATTATAATATTATAAATTACACACCACAAAATTGCCAACATACTACTAACAACATTACAACACACTACTAACAACCAATAACAACATTACTAACAATAACAACACACTACTAACACACTACTAATAATTTCAAAACAATAATAAACCACAAAATTGGCAACATTACAACACAACAACAACAACAACAATAATAACAATAGTAATAATACTAATAACAACAACAATAATAATTTCAATCAATTTTTTATAAAATTTTAATCACGAAAAAATACATAACAATAATACATAACAATAACAATAAAAAAATAAAATTATATTAGTCAAAAAAAAAATACATATCAATAATCACGAGGAAAAAAAAATTCCAAAATTAATAAAAAAACATATACATAACAATAACAATAAAAAAAATTACATATCAATAATCACGAGGAAAAAAAATTCCAAAATTAATAAAAAACATATACATAATAATAAAACATAACAATAACAATAAAAAAAATAAAATTATATTACTAAAAAAAAATAAATATCAATAATCACGAGAAAAAAAAAATTCCAAAATTAATAAAAACCATATTTGAACACATATTAATCACGACAAACACAAAAATAAAAAAATAAAAAAAATTGAAAAAATTCGGGAAACCCAGACTTCCGCCGGAAAATTCCGGAAGTTTCCCCAGACATCCGGATTTTTCAGGCAGAAGTCTCCAGAAACATTTTTTTTTTTCAAATTAAAAACAACTACAACCACAACCATACCTGCTCGCCGCCACTAACGCCGCCCCCATGACCACCGTATGTCAGCCTTATGCGTCGCCGGTCCGCCGTAGCCGGATTCAACCTTGGATGGGTGGTGTTCGTTGGTGTTTGTGTGATTTTCAAATGTTCTGTTTTTTTTTTCTTGTTAAATTTTCAGATTTTTTTTTTATAAATTTCTGACTTTTTCTTTTTTTGTTTTAGAGTGATAAAATTTTAGAGAGAGATTATGCTGGTAGTGAAATGACTTGTAAGTTTCGTAAGTTAGTTTCACGAGTATTTATATACGAGGGGCAAATAAGGAATTCAAGTAAAAAATGCGAGCGTCACCTTGTAATTTGCGAACGACGTTTAACAACACCCGTAGAATATGAAGGGCCTATCTTAGATAGACAATTTGTATTGTGTTAGATATAGAACGCCTCAAAGAGGCGTTCTATAGACTTTATAAGGCACCCCCAGAAGAACGCCTCTGAGGCGTTCTATATTGCTTGTTTTAGGCGTTCTGTATTCCTATTTTTGTATGCTTTTAAACTTGTAGTATCTACTTATGAACGAAGTAGTAACATTTGCTTCTAAACTTGTAGATTTACTCCTCCCTTAGCCAAACTTCTTCCTTTAGTTCAACCACATTTTCAATGAGAGAACTAAACATGATATCCAAGAAGTAGTAATATGCTAAATTAATTTCTATAATATACTTCTTAAATTGGAACATTTCCATTTTTTTACCTCCCAATATGAGGTTGTTTCCAATCAATTGCAATTGGTCCATTTAATTGGAATCATTTGTCATTAATAACAACTTTTAGCATATAAGTGGTTTTAGGTTTTAGAAGTAGTAACTTACTTGCATTTCATAGCCTATAGCTCGTTAATGCCATCCTCATATATTCTTAAATCTTTCCCTTTTTAGCCACTTAGAACATTTTCTTTAGGTTCAAAATAATGCTTTGCTTAACTTCTTTAAGCACTTTTCATGATTTTGCTAAGTCTATTCAATCATCATTCATATTAGAGCTTATTCAACAATTTAACTCCACATGAAATGGTTGAAAAATAATGTCATTTGATCAAGTTTTGATCATTGAGACTTCCAATCACTTTCTTATATTCAATCACATTGAAGATAAGAGACTTTATTAGATTTTCATTCTTTTCTTTTAGGGTTCGTACCTCCCATCTCATTCTAACCCTTGAAACACTTTTCAAAATGAAGATGGTGTTGGCGTTTTACTCAAACATTTTGAGTTGAAGGAAACCAACTTTACACATGTGACATGGGTTTCTAAAACTTACCTTTTAGAACCATCTTAGAAAAATTGGGATATAGGTTTACGGATTATCTTTTAAACTTTTGAGAATGTTTCTCAATTCTTTTCAATCGAGGAGATAATATATTAATAAAACTAGAACAAAATATTACTTATTAATAAACGCAAAATTCAACTGTGTTAAATAAACATTACAGCACCATTAGACTCATTAGGTAACTTTAAAGCACTTTATTCAATTTAAAATTGTCCTCATTGAATTAAGTGATTCTAAGATCCTTTATTTGTGTAATAAATGACTGGATTTTGGCCCTACCATCAACCATTACATTTTCAAGGTAAGTAAACTCTTTATTAATTGCAACTCTTGGTTGAATAATTAATCATCTCATGTTTAATTATTACCCTTTGCTTCAAGATTCTAAATTCTATAGGTAATCTTGTTGAGCACAACCAATTAAAAGTGTAAAACTTGATGTACCCCAAATTACCTAGTATAACAAATGACACAAAGCTTTGGCATGACCCATCACTTATGATCGAAGGGTTGTTTGGTTTTTAATTGGAAAAGCAATCTCAATTTTACCGGGACTTAGATTTAATATGTTGTGATTAATTTAGTTAACTCTAGAGCATCATCATCAACATCAATAAAACCTAGCATGCATAATCAACTAATGTATAAAATAAAGCATGACATAGTATGGCCTCTTAGTCCTAAGAAACTAAACTTGAAATGCTCCCACTTGAACCTTCATGGATCTTCGTCCACCTTGCTCCTTTAGGCCTTCACTTCGTGGGCTTCTTGGACTAGACTATTAAAATACCTATTCTATTTGCTGCTTAAATAAAAGGTTACAAAAATACTTAACGGTTCACAAACCGTATTTATATTACAAAAATACATCACGATGCGCAGATCGTATTTATAATCTATGGCCAATACTAGTCTATATTAGCATAATAATGTCATATATTATAAAAATTTCCATATAATAAATCACTCAACATGCTTGCCTAAACTAAAATATCGAATATTCTTAATTAAGGCAACGTAATTCCTAAAATATCTCATATTTTTAATTTGTAATTAGATAGTATCGTATATTATTCATGACCATCCACAAAATATCATATATTTTGAATTTGGTATGAGATAAAATCAAATCTTATTTTAATTTCAAAAGATAACTCATATTTATTTTCAAGATTATCCTAACAAATTTAGGAGATTCTATCCTAATTACTAGCCAATCAAATAATTTTAAAATCAATTATCTCCTAAAATAATTATGGGATAATCACCTGCTGAGGTAAATATTGCTCTTTACCAACAAGTTAAATACTCTATCTTGTTCTAAATTATTAGGGGGCTGCCCCTCGAGTTACCGGTTTCAAATATTGATAACCTTGCTAACGTAAAACAAAACAATAAGGAAGCTTTTCCAAAGGAAGTAAAACAAGTTAGATTTCTCAAAGAAACGAGTAGATAAACATATACGAAATATACAAATGCATTCCATTAATTAAAAGATAGAGTCAGGTGTACAATTGTACAAGTTGAAGGAAAGGGTACCTCCTTGGTCATACAATTGGAAAAGACGAACAATCTTCAATACATGTTACGTGCTAAACTATACTATTGCTTAGCTACTAAGCCAAGGGAAACTACGAAAGCTAAGAAGAAAGCTTAAAAGAAATGAAATGCTTGTTGTTGATTGATTTGCTGATGCATTTCTTTCTTTCCTTGCACTTCTATTTATAGGCAAAATGGAGCGGTTATGGTTAACTCCCTTAACTGTTGTACGATTATGCTTCTTGGCGCCAACACTATTTCAAAAATTAAAATTACCCATTAGCCTCCTAATTCGGTCCACGTGTTATTGGGCCACTATGTGATATTAGCCCAACTGCTGTTATGTTTTACCACACTAGCCCAAAGACCTTTTACTAACTCTGAAAACTTCTCAACTCGGTTAAAGTTAAGAAAGTCAAGCAAAAAGTTAAAAACTGATTTTTGGGTGTAACAAATGCCCCCCTAATTTGGATGGTTGATGGCGTTTGAGACCAACCAAATTATGACTTTTTGAACATAAATATAAAGCATTGTGTATGTCTAACTCTGCAAATATCAACCATAGAATACAAACATTACTTATTATTTATAGAGATAAAATAATTACAAAATAAGAGCAATTCAAAACTTTTAAGTTTTGAATTATGTATGTTAGACACCTGATTGTGTCTCCCCAAAAAACCAAACCCAGTGATGAGTACCTTTCACGTCTTTGATTGTCGAGTTAGGTGAAGAGTCGAAGAGTCTCATGAATTTCCTTTAGCCTTGACCATTTCTAACCTTTCTTTAAATGTTTTAATCCAAAATCATTTATTTCGTGTCTTTAAACCCAAAATCATTCATTTCATGTCTTTGAAAATCGTTCATTTCGTGTCCTCTTTATA